TACATGCCTGTTGGCTGGGCACCTTACTGACCCAGGCTCAGAGCTGGGGCATTACACCTGTGCCGTAAAGGAGCACGTGACATAAGCTGGCTCTCCAGGTGAGAAAGCCCAGGCCAGGGGCAAAGCACAGCAGGAAACAGAAGTGAGAGTCAGATGGGATTTCCTCCTTCCCAAGCCCCTAGCCTTCCCAACAGTGAGGGAGAAGTGTCCCCCGAGAGTCAGGTTGGAACCAGGAATATTTTGTGCGGCATCCATTCCAGCTGTGTGACCGCAGCGGGGAGACAGGCCCCAACCCACACTCACGGGGCTGTCAGTAGCCGGTGGCATCCAGTACGTGTTGCATATTGGCAGAACCAGTGAATGAGGGCCCTGACTCAGGACAGTTACACCTGTGGTTCAAATTACGTGTATCAACTCGTGATGTGAATGACAGCTTGTGTTTACTGAGTGTGCACAGCAAGGCCAGGACTGGGGTTTTCTCTTCCACAAAATGCATATGTAATCATCGTACCACCTTGCCTGGACACCAGTCTGGGGCTTAACCTCTCGTGCTTGCCCACCCAGACCTGGGCACTGTTATTTTACCCCAGTTCCGAAGGTGAGGAAGCAGAGGCCCAAACAGGTGGAGCCACTGCCCCGGTGGACTGTGGCCCAGGTAGGCCTTCTGGCCGCTGGTGGGTTGCGTGGTGGGTCCGACAGGCTGGAGTCCTCTGTGTGTATGACGGTGCCCTGAGGAAGAGGGTGTGGTCCCATTCAGGGCCTCCAAGTGGAACACCTGGGGCTCCAGCCTGACCACTGTTTTGTTTCTGAGACAGAGTCTCGCACTGTTGCCTGTTGCAGTGGCACCATCTCGACTCACTGCAACCTCCATGTCTCGAGTTCAAATGATTCTCTCACCTCAGCGTCCCAAAGTAGCTGGGATTACAAGCACCTGCCACCATGTCCAGCTAATTTTTTTGTATTTTTAGTGATGGGGTTTCACTATATTGGCCAGGCTGGTCTCGAACTCCTGACCTTGTGATCCACTGCCTCAGCCTCCCAAAGTGCTGGGATTACAGGCGTGAGCCACAGCGCCCGGCCCTGAACACTTTTTAAAAGCATCAGTCTGCATGGGGTGTCTCGTAGCTGTAACCCCAGGACTTTGGGAGGCCAAGGCAGGAGGATCCTTTGAGCCTAGGAGTTCAAGACCAATATAGTGAGGCCCTGTCTCTACAAAAAAAGTTTAAGGCTTAGCCAGGTGTGGTGGAGAGTGTATGTCATTTTAACCAGCTCTTTGGAAGGCCAAGATGGCAGAATCGCTTGAGCTTGGGAGGTCAGGGCTACAGTGAGCCTCGGCCACAGAGAGAACCGGTGTCAAAATAATCAAGCAATTAATTTAAATGAAATGAAGAAACACCAGGAGAGGGCGCCTGTGAGCCGTCATGCCAGAGCTTGCTCCTCTGTCCAGCGCCTGTCAGCAGTGGCCTCAGGGCAGCAGGGAGTTCACCAAGAGCTGGCACAGAGAACGGTGCCCTGACCCCAGGGACCTGGGCATCCTTTGCAGAGCCTGGATGTGGTGTCTCGGCCACGGGCTTGCCAGGCTCAGTGCTTTTGAAGGATGAGAAGTAGCAGCAGATCCCAGCAGTGGTGAGGGCAGTGGGGCCTGGAGCCACATCAAGCCCAGCCCTGTTCCCCAGCCTCTGTGTATTCCCAGCACGCTGGGAATTCCTGTCTCCACAGCTCAGTGTTCTCTGTAGCATGGGCATCATCCTCGATTGCATGCAGGAGTGCAAACGGCAGGCTCAGCCCAGAGCACAGCCCCAGATGCTTAGGAAGGGGTGGTCTCAGCGGGGAGGTGAAATGGCACCCCCAGCTCAGGACCCCGCCAGGCCCCAGCCAGCTGGCTTGCTGAGGGCCATTTCTCCCCACACCTGGCCTTTTCTGCAAGGCTGGTGTAACATTTTTACAGCCAGGGAAACTGAGGCTCCAAGAGTAAAGCCGCCCGTTTCCATGGTGGCCCTAGCTCAGGGGTTCCCAGCCCTGGCTGTTAGAGTCACCTGGGAGCTTTTCAAATTCCTGGCGCTGCTCGCAGAGCCATGAATCGGCTCCTCTGGGGCGAGGTCCTACATGGGTAAGTGTTAACTTCCTAGGTGATCTCAATGGGCAGCCTCGATGGAATCCACCGTCCTGGGACCAGGGAAGCACAGAGCCGGGTTTCCACACCTGTCCGACCTCACCCTGCCACCGCCTGCCTGTGTAACCTGCGGGGAAGGCTGGCTCCAGGGTCCCGGGTTCTGTGGTCTGGTCTGCGTGGCTTGCCCTTAATGCAGAGGACAGTGCAGGCCGCAGAATGGGGGTCAGGGCCTGGTGACCCGGAGCGTGAGACTGGGCTGCCTCCCTGGAAGAGGGAAGGAAGGGCTTCCTGCACAAGCTCCATCCCTCTGAAGACTTGGGTTGGGGCTGGGTCCCTGGGATCTGCTCCCTTCCTACTGGAATCCCACGCTCAGAAAATAGGCTTTTAATAGCCCGAGGCAGGCACATAATTACCAAATAACGATTCCGGCCTTAGCACAAATGAGCTCCTTGTCTGGGGCTGGGGCTGGCATTTGGTTTCTAATCCCCAGCGTTGGCCTGATCCTACTGAGAGCTTTTCCCTCCTGTTTGCCACCTCTGCTGCTGAGGCTGGCCAGTGCAGCCCCTGGGGATGTGAGAGGGGCCAGGTCCCTCCCTCCTCCTTGCCTGCCCTCCCCTCTCCCTCTGGTCCTCCTCTCCCCTACTTGTCCCTTCCTCTTCCCCTTCCTCCTCCCTCTCCCTGTCTCTTCCCTCCTTCTTTCTTCTCTTTCCAGCCCTGTCTTTTCTCTTCCCTCCTTCTCTCCCTCTTTCCCTCTCCTCCTCCCTCCCTCTCCTCCTCCCTCCCTCTCCCCCTTCTTCCCTCTCCCCCTCCTTCCCTCTTTCCTCCTTCCCCCCCTCCTCTTCCTTCTCCCCTCTCCTCCCTCCCTTCCTCCTCCCCTTCCTCCCCTCTCTCCTCCTTCCCTCCTCTCCCTTCACTCCTCTTCCTTCCCTCCTTCCCACCTCTTCCTCTTCTCCCTCCTCCCCTCTCTCCTTCTCCCTCCATTCTCTCCTCCCTCCTCTCCTTCCAACACTCTCTCCGAGCCTTCTGCCTCTCCTGGGCTCACTGAGAACCTGATGCTTCAGATTATATGTCTGGGTTTATCCTCAAGCTCCAGACCATGTTAAAATGCAAATGTGGTGTGTTTTATTTTAGAATGTTGGAGTATGCACCGAGGAAGGGGTTTGGAGACTGAGCAGGGAGGCTCCCTCCTGTTACAGATATGATCATCAGCAACTCCTTTTGTCAGGGGCCTCTGCAAGGAGCTCTTTACGGATGATAATAGAGAACACTTAGCTGGCTGGGCAAAGTGCTTCCGTGATTTCCTTCATTTCCTCATATGCAGCCCTTCAAGAGGGGTCTGCCCTGCCCACCTGCAGCCGGGGTTTTGGCTGTGGCTTTTGTTTTTGGCATTAACAAGCCTCAGGCTCTGGAGGTTCTAATATTGCCAGTTATGACATCAGGTGTGTCCTAGATCCCAAGTCCCCTCTGCAGCCAGTCCTGGATGTGCTCGAGCAGGGACGGCACCACAGCCCTGGCACCCAATCCTGCGGATGCTGCTCTGAGAAGTAAAGTTTTATTGAGACAGAGTTACACTCGTTCATTTCCACGTTGCCTCCGGCTGCTTTCAGGCTGCCGTGGCAAAGCTGTGTGTAGTTTGTGTGGGCACAGAGACTCCTGCCTGGCCCCTTGCAGAAAGTCTGCCAGCTGTTCCCTGGGACGATGGCTACGGGAAGCACCAGCTCTTAGACTCAGCCGGCTCCCAGTGTGGGGACGGGTCCTGGCTCTGCCTCTCCCTAGCTGTTCGGTTGTGTGCGGATGTTACTCTCTTAGGTCCCCAGTTTCCACGTCTGCGAGATGGGGCTGGTGACACCCAAGCTACTGGGGCTGAGAGCATGGAACCTGAAGGACGCATGCTCTCGGCCCCATAGCTTGTCTGTACGGTGGCAGCACGTGCCTTTGTTTGGGGTTGTTTGGGGTAGGGGCGCCTCTCTCCAAGTGGCTTCCTTTGAGTTGTTTCACACTCTGGGCTTCTGTGTAGGAGAAACGTTCTCTTCTCTAAAGAAGGTTTGGCTGGGCGTGGTGTCTCACACCTATAATCCCAGCATTTTGGGAGGCTGAGGTGGGCGGATCCTCTGAGGTCAGGAGTTTGAGACCAGCCTAGCCAACGTGTCAAAACCCTGTCTTTTCTAAATATACAAAAATTAGCCAGGCATGGTGTATGTGCCTGTAATCCTGGCTACTCAGGAGGCTGAGACAGGAGAATCGCCTGAACCTGGGAGGTGGAGGTTGCAGTGAGCAGAGATGGTACCAGTGCACTCCAGCCTGGGTGACAGAGCAAAACTCTTGTCTCGAAAAAAAGAAGGTTCAAAACCCACTGCATTAGGCCTGCTTTGGAGGGGCCGTGTGGGGGCTAAGCATTGCGTCGGGGAAAGGTCGCCTCTTCCTACAAACTCTCCAGTTGGGGCCAGGAGTCTTCCAAAGGAGGGAACAGGGTTGGGGTTCAGAGGGTGGGAAGGTGACGGTGGCGGGGGAGGGCAGTGGCTGGGGGGAGAGGAGGATGCTGGTCACTGTGGGTTTGAGAATGAGGTCAGTGACCGTGCATAGAATGAAGGTGGCTCGTCACGGTCACCTCACTCCGGTCATGTGTGCCAGGGACTGTGGCAGTCTCTCCCCAGCCCAGGTAGTGGCTGATTCCCCCACTACCACCCTGAGCTTGTTGTCCATGAAAACAAGAAGTCTGTGAAGAGTTAGACTCACTGTCACGTGGAGGGGTGCATAAGACCACCTACCCTTCTGCCGCCAGCTGCAGGTTTGGGGGTTCCCCAAAACACCCTCCTGTTTGCTCATTTGCTGAAAGGACTCACAGAACTCACTGGAGGCTTTGATTCTCGGTTATGGCTCATTCCAGGGAAGGGACCCAGGTCAAAGAGGAAAGGGAAGGTGCTCACAGGGCAGATCCCAGGAGGCCCCAGGCACAGGCTCCTACCGTCCCTCCCCGTGGAGCTGTGGACAGCGCCCACTCCTCCCGCCGATGACGATGGTGTGTGATGGCACGGAGCATCGCCAGGTGGGAAGCCCCTGGCCTCAGTGGCCACAGTTCTTATGGGGCATTATGGGCTGAACTCTGTCTCCCAAAAATTCCTAAATAATCCTCCTGGCCCCAAGGGCCTCAGAATGTGACCTTGTTGGGAGTAGTGTCTTTGCAGGTGTACTGAGCTGAGATGAGGTTATTTTAGTAGTGTGAGCTCCTAATACAAAAGGACGAGTGTCTTTATCAAAAGGGGAGATCTGGGCCGGGCTTGGTGGCTCATGCTTGTAATTTCAGAACTTTGGGAGGCCGAGGCGGGCGGATCACCTGACGTCAGGAGTTTGAGACCAGCCTGGCCAACACAGTGAAATTCTGTCTCTACTAAAAATACAAAAATTAGCTGGACGTGGTGGCACATGCCTGTAATCACAGCTACTCGGGAGGCTGAGACAGGAGAATTACTTGAACTCAAGAGGTGGAGGTTGCGGTGAGCCAAGATCATCCCGCTGTACTCCCGCCTGGGCAACAGACTGAGATCCATCTAAAAAACAAAAAGGAGAAATCTGGACAGAGACAGGACACAGGGAGAAACAGTATGAAGGCAAGAGGCAGAGGTGGGTGATGCTTCTACAAGCCTAGGAACGCCAGATTGTCAGCAGCCACCAGAAGCCAGGAGAGGGGCCTGGAACAGTCTCCCTTGCAGCCTCCAGAGGATCCAGCCCTGCCGACACCTGGATCTGGAACTTCTGACCTCTGGATCTGTCAGACAATGAATGTCCTTTGTTCCAGCCCCCCGGTTTGCTGTGGCAACCGCAGGAGACGAAGGCATGGGGGCTTCTCTGGAGGCTGATTGATTGCTCACTTGGAGCTCAGGCTGCAGGCTGCCGTCTCTCTGGGCATGACCCAGGGCCCCCACCATCAATCACATCTTTGGAAGCCAGGTATAACCAAGGCCCCGGCAAACAAAGACTCTCCTATCAAGCAGGATATTCCAAGGGCTGAGAGAGCACCTCCCAGAAACTGCGGACAGAAATCAACCTCTTTTTAGGCAAGGTTAAATTCTTTTTCTTTTTTTCTCTTTTTTGAGATGGAGTTTCGCTCTCGTTGCCCAGGCTGGAGTGCAGTGGCGCGATCTCGGCTCACTGCAACCTCTGTCTCCTGGGTTCAAGTGATTCTCCTGCCTCAGCCCACTGAGTAGCTGGGACTACAGCCACCTGCCACCATGCCCAGCTAATTTTTTGTATTTTTATTAGAGATAGGGTTTCACCATCTTGGCCAGGCTGGTCTTGAACTCCTGATTTCAGGGGATCCATCTGCCTCGGCCTCCCAAAGTGCTGGGCCAGATTCTTTACTATGCACAGGGTCCAGAGAGGAGATGCAGTGCACCCAGGGTCACACAGCTGGTGGCCTGATTCCAAAGTCAGTGTGTGTGCTGCCTTCAGTTTTTCTGAGCCTACAGCTTTCATCAAGGGGCAAGTGAACCAAGAGTTTGGCCTGAATGGCATGGCTTCAGGTCCCCTAGGTGCACATGCTTTCTGTGGATTCAAACAGACTGTCCCGGACAGCCCAGAGGTAACCTGCCCCTCAGAGGAACACCCCTTTGGTGAACAAAGGTTGCCCTGAGAAGCCCCCTGTGATTTCACATACCACAGCCAGGTATGCGATCCCCACTGTGCACCTGCCATCCCTTCCTCCCGAGGTCAGGGAAAGATTTGCTGACTCTGTCGGTAATCTATCATTGCTTAACAAACTATGCCAAAACGTTGAGGCTTCAACATCAAGCTTTTATTATCTCAGAGTTTCTGTGGGTCAGGAATTGAGGAGTGGCTTAGCTGCCTGGTTCTGGCTCAGGGTCAATCAGCCAGGGCTATAGTCTCATCTGGTGGCTGGACTGGGGCTGGAGGCTCATCTGGTGGCTGGACTGGGGCTGGAGGCTCATCTGATGGCTGGACTGGGGCTGGAGGCTCTGCTGCTGAGGTGCCTCCCTCATGGCTGTTGGCTCAAGGTCTTAATTCCTCACCCGCATGGGCTTCTCCATAGGCCACTTGAGCATCCTCATAACATGGCGGCTGGCTTCCCCAAGAGCAAGCAGTCTAAGAGAGAGCAAGAAGGAAGTTGCCATGTCTTTCATGACCTCACCTTGGAAGTCTCGCACCATCATGTCTGTCCTATTTTGTTTGTTGGAAGCAAGTCACTAAGTCCATCTTACACTCCACCTCGTAGGGCCGTAGTTTAGAACCTCCACACTGACCCTACGATGGTCACTTAGGAACATTGCCCTGATGGTGGTCACGGGAGGCCTGAGAACATTAGGAAAAATAGGTCCCCCCAACCCCTTATACTCAGCGCCTCCTGTTGGTCAGGGGCTCTGGTGCTTGAGCTAATTTAATCCTAGCCTGGCACTGTTTGGGGCAATCCCCAGAGTGACGGGTGTAGAGACAAAGACTGATGGTTTTGGTTGCATTTAAATGTTATTTTATTTTTTTTTTTTTTTTTGAGATGGAGTCTCACTCTGTCGCCAGGCTGGAGTGCACTAGTGTGATCTCGGCTCACTACAACCTCCGCCTCCCAGATTCAAGCAATTCTCCTGCCTCAGCCTCCCGAGTAGCTGGGACTACAGGCATCCACCACCATGCCCGGCTAATTTTTGGATTTTTAGTAGAGATGGTGTTTCACCACTTTGGCCAAGATGTTCTCAATCTCTTGACCCCGTGATCCACCCACCTTGGCCTCCCAAAGTGCTGGGATTACAGGTGTGAGCCACCTCAACACCCCCCCCCCCCCGACTTTTTTAAAAAATTAAGACAGAGTCTTACTCTGTCACCTAGGCTGGAGTGCAGTGGAACAATCTCAGCTCACTGCAACCTCCACCTCCCGGGTTCAAGTGATTCTCTTCCTGCTTCAGCCTACCGAGTAGCTGGGATTACAGGTGTGCACCACCACACCAGGCTAATTTTTGTCTTTTTAGTAGAGGCAAGTCTTCACCATGTTGGTGAGGCTGGTCCCCTACTCCTGACCTCAGGCGATATACCCACCTCGGCCTCCCAAAGTGCTGGGATTACAGGTGTGAGCCACCACTCCCGGCCAGCATTTAGAATGTAAAGCACTCCTACTTACTCTGTCATGAGCATGTCCTAGGCTCAAGGGAAACACAGGTGAATGAAGTAGTGACTGTCCTCCTGGTGTTCACAGCAAAGAGCGACAGAAACGAAAAAAAAAAAAATCATTGATGAATGAGTGAGTGCAGATGGGCAAAAGCGGGAGCCGCAGGTCTGCTGGGGTGCCTTTCCCAGGGAAGAGCCTGGCGCACTGGGCTTTGAAGGATAAGGAGGAGCTTGTTACTCTGGCAGAGAAAGAAAGAGCGTCCCAGGCCAGGGGAACAGCATATGCAAAGGCATGAAGGGGCCCAGGGAGCCGGGGAGTCTGGGGAAGTATGAGTGCTTTGGAGTATAGGGGCTGATGGCTGCAGGTGAAGCTGGAACTAGCTGGGCCACATGGTGAAGGACGAAAACTGGACCCAGAGGCTGACTGGCCTGTGAGCCGCATTTCCCAAAATCTGTTTCCCGACTCATGGTTCTGTGAGATGTGACAGGGGCTCAGTTAGCATTCCTGAGACTCGGGTTTTCATCTGTGGGGCGGGGACAGCGGCGCCCTTTGCTGTGAGGCGTCAGGACTCAAGTGACGGTGAATGGGGGGGCGGCCCACGGTTCCTGGCGGCCACTGATCCTGTCTCTCTGTCATGTGTGTACGTGCGTGTGTGCTCCACGCCTGGCTTCTCAGGCTTTAAAATGTGTGTCAGCAGCAGCAGCAGCAGCCACGACGAGGCCCCCGTCCTGAACGACAAGAACCTGGACGTGCCCGACATTATCATCACGCCCCCCACCCCCACAGGCATGATGCTGCCGAGGGACTCAGAGAACTCAGGTGAGGCCGCCCCCTGCGCCAGCAAGCCGGGTCGGATCTGGGGGCCCAGCAGAGACCGCTCTCAGGGGCATGCTTCTGGGCACGGGACTGAGCTTGCATCCTCGCCTCCCCCGGGTTCATTAACCATTTAGTGTCAGACTTGTGTACACTGCAATGTGAGCCCCCCGCCAAGGCGCCAGCCTCAGCGCAATGTGGCGTGTTAAGTAATTAGTAGACAGCCCCTGCCAGCCAATTGATGGATGGAGCCAGGCTGGCCCGCCACGCCAGGGCTCCCGCCAGCCAAGGTAACTGATGGATGCTCCTTCCCCTGCCAGCGGGAGGACCACTGCTCCATCTTGTTGGCCGCTGCCGTGTGGCTGGACAGGACAGACTTGGAAACACAGCCCACGCCCATGCCAAGGCTGGGGCTGGACCCTGGGCCTTCCAGATGCAGCTCACTGCCGGGAACGGGGAGGAAGTGGAGTTCTTCCCAGTGAGAGGGTGCGGGGGTGGGAGACAGAGCCCCAAATCGCGCTCCCACCTGCCCCTCTGGAGCTGGTGGAATGACTCGTTCACGTGTTCAGCGAGCAGAGATTTATTGAGCTGGGCCTACGCCAGGTACTGAGGCTGCTGCTGTGAATAATAATAACAATAATGGTGATACCAGGTCGTGATAGGTAGCACCGTACTGAGTGTAATGAATGGATTTCCTTTTGTCTTGTTTTGTTTGAGACGGAGGCTCACTCTGTCACCCAGGCTGGAGTGCAGTGGCGAGATCTTGGCTCACTGCAACTTCCAACCTCCAACTCCCGGGTTCAAGCGTTTCTCCTGCCTCAGCCTCCCCAGTAGCTAAGATTACAGGCATGGGCCACCATGCCCAGCTAAGTGTTTTGTATTTTCAGTAGAGACGGGTTTCTTCATGTCGGTCAGGCTGGTCTTGAACTCCCGACCTCAGGTGATTCACCTGCCTCGGCCTCCCAAAGTGCTGGGATTATAGGCATGAGCCACTGTAACTGCGCTATTTTTATTTATTTTTTGAGATGGAGTTTGGCTCTGTTGCCCAGGCTGAAGTGCAGTGGCGTCGTCTTGGCTCACTGCAACTTCTGCCTCCTGTGTTCAGGTGATTCTCCTGCCTCAGCCTCCTGAGTAGCTGGGATTACAGGCAGCCACCACTATGCCTGGCCAATTTTTGTATTTTAGTAGAAAGGGGTTTCACCATGTTGGCTGGGCTGGTCTCAAACTCCTGACCTGAGGTGATCCACCCACCTGGGCTTCGCAAAGTGCTAGGATTACAGGAGTGAGCCGCTGCGCCCAGCCACACCCCCATTTTAGAAATGGGTAAACTAAGGCTCAGAGAGGTTGAGACACTTGCCATGCTGCTGGTTGGTGGTGCAGCAGGGATAGAACCCCAGGCTATGTGATCTGAGCTTCGTCCCACGGCCCCCAGGCCGGACGCTCTCCCTGCGGGTGGCACCAGTCAGCTGATAGCCATCATGACATGGGTCCTCCTGGACCCGTGCAGGGCACACAGCACCCATGAGGCTTGTGTAGGGTTTGTGGAAGGCTGTCTGGGAGGGGGACTCCATAGACCCTTCCACATGTCCTGAGTTTGGGTCTCCCCTTGCTCAGTAGAGCAAGTGACTGGGAGAAAGCTGTCAGGCCCCCTGGGCTGGGCCAGCGCAGGTGTTATGGTGGTTGCAATAGGGGCACATTCCTCTGTGACCTTTCCGAGTGCATGGCACTGGCTAAATGCTTTTCATAAATCTCATGTAATTCTCATTCCAACTGTGAGGTGGTGAAGACCACCCTTATCTCTAGTTTAGAAATGGGGAAACAAGCCAGGCTCCATGATTCACGCCTATAATCCCAGTACTTTGGGAGGTCGAGACGGGCAGATCACCTGAGATCGGGAGTTCAAGAGCAGCCTAACCAACATGGAGAAACTCTGTCTCTACTAAAAATACAGAAAATTAGCAGGTATGCCAGGGGGCGCCTGTAATCCCAGCTACTCTGGAGGCTGAGGCAGGAGAATCGCTTGAACCCACGACGTGGAGGCTGCAGTGAGCCAAGATCGTGCCATCAAACTCTAGCCTGGGCAACAAGAGTGAAAACCCATCTCAAAAAAAGGAAAAGGAAAAGAAATGGGGAAACAAACAGGTCCAGAGAGGGACAGTGCCTCACACAGGGGCACACAGCAAGGTGGGAGAAGAGCTGGGCTCCGGCACCACAGTGGTGCCTAATCAGAGAGCCAAGTGTGGGCAGACAGAGGCCCAGTCCTTAGCTCGGCTCTCACAGTCCCTTCCCTCTCTGAGCCTGTGCCCTCACCTATAAAGTGGGATCATACCATCTTCCCTGCTCCCAGGACCAGTGTGGGCACAGCGGAGACACAGGGTTACTCTCCAAGGTCCAAGCCCCAGGGAGGTTCCTGAACCCTGGGACAGGTTTCTCTTAAATTTAAGCATCTCCAGGGTCTGATTCACCCAGATGGATCCACCATCACTGGGTCCCATCTCAGCCTCTGGCAGCACCAGAAAACAAGGACACCCAGAGACCCCTGCCCTGCAGCTCCCAGGGAGGCGGGCCTGGGTGTGGTGGGGGCAGGGTGCATCCAGGTGTCCATCCCTCTTTCTCCTAGTCTGGCTGGATGAGACAGGGTCATGCCCAGATGACGAAGAAATGGACCCGGAAGCCTGAGGCGGTGTCATCCAATGATCTGGTGGACTCTCACTCCAGCGTCCTGGCTTCAGGTGTCCGGGGGCGTGGCTGCCTGGGGAAGGTGGGCCGAGCACCATGGATGGGAACAGCAAATCCGGGCTGCCGCTCAGAAGGACGTGGCAGGACCAGCAAGGAATCCGGCCTGCCTGCTTCTACAACAGGGTTTCCCAGGCCCCGCTGAGTGGACGCACCCCTGACGCCTCCAGGTTCTTGCCGACTCTAGCCTGGTAAGAGAGAGCGCCATGGTCCTGGCTGTCGGGGTCCCAGGGAAAGGCCTTTTTCTGGACAAACACACCCTCCCAGTCCCCTGGGCCGGGCAAACATGGGTCTCTGCCATCAACACAAACAAGAACGTCTTGCAGGCGTAAAAGTGTTCTTTTACAGATATGGAAACAGTCCAAAATGGGATTTATAATTTCTTTTTTGCATATAAATAAAGATCCTCTGTAACAAATGGTCAATCCTTTTCTCTTTTTTCTTTTTTTTTTTGACGTGGAGTCTCCCTCTTGTCTCCCAGGCTGCAGTGCAGTGGCATGAACTTGGCTCATCACAATGTCCACCTCCCGGGTTCAAGTTATTATTTTGCCTCAGCCCCCTCAGTAGCTGGAATTACAGGCAGGAGCCACCACACCCAGCTAATTGTTGCATTTTTAGTAGAGGTGGGGTTTCCTCATGTTGGCCAGGCTAGTCTCGAACTCCTGACCTCAGGTGATCCGCCCACCTGAGCCTCCCAAAGTGCTGGGATTACAGGCATGAGCCACCGCACCTGGCCTCAAACAGTGACTCCTGCTTCTTGGGTCAGGAGGCGGCGGTGGATGGAGCACACGAGGCACAGCGTGGGTGTAAGAGAGACACTTAACACGGAGGAGCGGGTCTGGTGTGCAGGCCGTTGTGGAGGTCTTGAGCCCCTTCTTTTTCAGCCTGTGTGGAGGCTTCAGCATGGCCCAGGCCTGGGCTCTGAGGTCACATGGACCTCGTTTGAGTCCCAGCTGTAGGATCCTGGTGATAACACACCTGTAGGGTGAGAGGCAATATTGTGTTGGTTTTTCTAACAACCTCACATCGGTGCCAGGTGTGGTGGCTCACTCTTATAATCCCAGCACTTTGGAGGCTGAGGCAGAAGGAGCTTGAGACCAGGAGTTTAAGACAAGCCTGGGCAACATAATGAGACCTTGTCTCAATCAGTCTCAAACACTAAATGGTCAGTGTTCCCAGCTTCCCACAGAGCACTCTGACATTGGTGTGCATATGTGTGTAGTGTGTGTGTGCATGAGTGGGTCTGTGCAGGTGTGTGCATATGTGACATGCATACATGTGTGCATGTACGCATGTATGTGCATGCATGCGTATGTATCGTGCATGTGTGTTTGCACATGTAATGTGTACATGTATGATGTGTGTATATGGGTGCAGTTGTGTATATGTGGGTGAATGTGCATCTGTGTATGTAGGTGTGTGTGTATGTGTGTATGTGTGATGTGTGTATGCATCTGTGTATGTGGTATCTGTGTGTACATCTGTGTGCATGTGTGATTGTGTGTGTCTGTGTCCATGAGTGTAGGTGTGTGCATGCGAGTGTGTGTGGTGTTTGTGTGCAAGTGTGTGATGTGTGTATGCATCTGTGTATGTGTGTGTACGTGTGTGCATGTGTGATGTGTATGTGTATCCATGTGTGTGTGCAGGTATGTGTGGCTGTGTGTGTGTGTATGGCGTGTATTCATTTTCTGTGGCGTCTCCTGAGTTTGGTTTTTCTTGTGTCTCAGGGTCCCCAGAGCAAGGCCTGAGCTGAGGCTTTGGGCGTAAGGGGGAGATTTGGAGGCGGTCCCAGGACACCCATGGGAGTTGGGAAAGGCAGTTCAGGGGTCCCCAAGACCACCCCCAGGTCTAATCATCCACCAGAAGAACTGAGAAAAGCCATGTGCATCTTGTTGATGGCTTATGATGGCAAGCAGATACAGATTAAAATCAGCAGAGGGCAGGAGACCCCAGGACAGGACAGGCGCAGGCTCCCAGCCATCCTCTGACCGCTGAGTTGTGGAGAGTGGGCAAGTGCTAACTTTTGACCACGATGTGGGACCACACGCACAGAGCATCACCAACCAGAGACACCTCGAACCTCAGTGTCCAGAGGCTTCATCGGGGCTCGGCCACATC